GTTTGATATTGTAAGTTTCCCAATAAATATTCCAACAAAATGTTCTGCTAGAAGTTACACGTGAATAGCAACCAAAAATCCTCTGTTCCGATTCTTTTTCCTTGAGTTCTGCACTTGCGATATTAACATTAACCCTTGCTTTGTCCTTTGCTTTTACTTTACCACCTCAATTTTAACTTTCCCAAATATTTCCACACAGGGTGTGGCTTTTCTAGACAATATGCAGTTGGGATTCTGCTTCTGATGTATTCAAATTTTGTCTCTTAACAGGAGAGTCATGCTCCTTTACATTTTTATTGTGGCACAGACAACCTTGGTTTTCCGTAATGATGTGTCCTGCTGTTCGCTGTCTTCTCTGATAAGCATCATACTTTCTTTCTTTTCCCCGCCCTTAGACAGCAGAAAGGCACCCAAACCCATTTATAGTTCTGAAGCTGTTTCTTCTTTTAAAAAGCTCACTTTGCCATTCATTTCAGGAATAAAAACAGACATTTGTGTGTTGAGAAAACATTCATGTTTTATTCTAAGGGGAGGACCTTATTCTTAAGATAAAGAAACCAGCACACTTTTATTTTCTTCATTCAGAAGCACCACAATGAGAACATCTTGGATTTCAGATCCCATCACCTCAGACCATACATTTTCTAAGAATCAGCACGTGTACTTTGCTTATCACTACATTTACAATATGAAGTCTCAACTATGCTCTCAATTTGATTCCATTAACAGTCATGCCGCAACTTCTCTGTTCTTAGACTTATACAGGTCCACAATCCTTCAATGATAATTCCAAAAGCCCAGAAAGTCCTAAACCCAGGTTTATCCCCCTAAACTTGGTGCCAAAAATAATTTACTAACAAATTCTGACCTAAGCTGATATGAAGTTACTTATGGTCTTTTCTGCTGAAAAGTAGCAATGTAGTAACTAGGGGTATTAAGTAATGCATATGCATCATACCTTGGATATATTCTCAATTCAAAACACAGCTAGTATGGGTTAATATACATCAATATATTTCCTAGCGCTGACCAATAAGAGAGGCTAACACAACACCCCAAGAATAAGCACACTAGCGTCCACATCTTGGATTTTAAATACCACTCTTCAATAAACAAAACAAGGGCTCTCTGGAGAAGTTACTGATTCCAGGGCAGGGTCAGGGATAATACAAGAGTCTGGTGGTGTCAGAAAGGAAGAGCTCAAAACAAAAAGCCAAGAAGGGGAATGTTGACAGGGCACAAGAATCTAACTGACAGAGTTCCCAATTGCCAAAGCTGGAAAAACTGGAGCAGCAAAACAAATACTGCCAATATTAACCATAATCCAATATTGCTTATAACCTAAAGGAAAAAATAAATGTCTTTGAGTGCATATTGATATAACTGAATGACTCTGTGGGAGAAGGAACAACTCTTCCTTAAAGAAGAATTGAAATCAAATGCACAAGAATGAGGGAAACAGAAACTCACCGTTAGAATCACAATAATACCATCACAGGCAAAGGCTACTGCTAAGTGTTAAAATTAGTGGAAAGTTTAAAGAGAAGCAGGGTATTTACAGTGCACAGTAAAGGATTAACCCTGTCCAAAGCTGTACAGTCTTTGCCCTTGGTTCATGGGAGGTATTTCTAGGCCCTTGGAACATCCTGCTTGTTAAGAGTGTATTTACTGAGGGCCTTGGGTCCCTCTGGACAGTCTATGCCAACACTTAGACTCATGGTGGAGGCCTCAGGTCACACAGGGCCAGTTCAACCTCTGGAAGTGCTGGAGACTAAGGCTGGCCAGTCTACACAACTGAGCCCTGAGAGTAAGCCTCAGGTGAGCTCCATGGCTGGAAACGGTCTGTGTGCTACCCCATATTGGGAGAAGCTGGCGCTGTCCATGACCTCACATGAGGGAGGCCCTCATGTACCCTGCCCTAGACCCCTATTCCCTTGGCTGGCTTTAATCCACAGCTATAAACCTTCACCATGGGCACAGCTTTCAGTGAGTTCTATGAGCCCTTCTAGAGAATTACTAAACCTAAGGGTAATCTTAAGGACCCTCAAACTTACAGGTGGTGTCAGAAGTCTTTGGGACTCCCTGAACTTTGCATATAACTGCAAGATATTTATTAATTACAAAGGGAAAAACAAGTTTATAATGGAGAAACTGGCAGCCACATCCTAATCTGTGATCCAGGTAAACATGACTACAGAACATGGACAGCACAGTTCCCAGGATGATGCAGCAAGGAGGGGGACTCACCTCCAGCTCCAACAAATGCCTAACCCCAGTGTGAGAAGGTTGAGGTGGACCCAAAGGCAGTACAGTCCAGAGTGATGGACCTGTTCTCTTCAAAAGCATCATTACAGGCAAGGGAGAGCTGAGGCTCCAACACAGACTGCAGAAGACATGACAACCAAATGCACAGGGGAGCCTGGAACACAGAAGGGCACTGGGGAACCTGTCAAATCCAAATAAAGTCTGTGGCCCAGCTCTCAGGGCCACAGCAATGGAAAGATCTCAGCACTGATAAATGCACCACGACTACACAGGATGCTGATGTAAGGGAAGGCTGGACGACGAGTGTCACAGCTGGAGGATACAAAGGTGTGGCAATACATGCAGAATAGCACCACCCACGGAAGTAGGTTTTCTGTAATGCTCTGGAATGGGATTGTGGCCTTTTTTCAGGTTCCTGCCTCTCTCAGCTGGTTACAGTAGTTTCAGAGGGTTTTTCAAGGAAGGGGTGGGTGGCATAAGGTAAGACCATATCCTTACAAGGACATTTTTCCACCGCATTCACACATGAAAGTCAGATAACTGACAGATGCCAGATTTATATTTCCCTTAAAAGTCTATAAAATGTTTAAATTAAAATCTGATAATCACTGACAGATGCCAAGAAACCAAGACATTATTTGAAAACTGATAAAGACTCAAAAGTCCTGAGTTTCTTGTATGAAGTGTACCTCAGGGTAAAGAAATGATGAAAAGTTGGTCTTTACAAATCTATTCTAGCCAATAAGTGAACAAGAATAGCAATTAGAGTATCACATTTCTGCAACCCCAAGGAATTAACAAACCTAGTAACAAGTCACAGTGGCTACTAACAACAAAGACCACTACAGGCTGGGGCCTCCTGGAAGACCCACCACCACCTCAAAGGAGTTGTACCAACCAATCAGATAAACCTCTAGATTTAGTTACTAATTTACAGGAAACACAAAAAAGGAGGAACCTTTTAAAACTACATCAGAGTGACGCAATCAGCAAAATCTAAGACTGGCACAGTTGACAGAACAACTCAGTTTCTTCACCAAAAAACATGAGAAAGATGTTGGAAAAACCTGCAGCTGTAAAACACACAAGAAATGGATCAACCAATTTGGATTCCGATTACAACAGTTATAAAAAAAATTTGTGGCACTGAGACAATTAAAAATTTGAACATTTGTGAGATACTAATATTAAGGAAATACTGCTAAATTTTAAGGAAGTGAGATAACTATATGTGGCTATAATTTTTTTTAAGTGTCCTTACTTTTTAAGATAATGCTGAAATATTTACAAAAACCATTAAAAAAACCAAACTACCTTTACAGATATTCCAGCGTAATGCAGTGAATATAACATTTGTTATATACCTGAATATTTGTAGTACTCTTTTTTTTTTCCAAGTTCAAGATTATCTAGCAGGTTCACTAAAGGCATTTGGTTTCCGTCATGACCTCTGCCTAGAATATTGTATAATCTTTCTATAGATTCCACCACCACATTTTCTTTCATTATCTCTGTAAGTTCCATTTTGGTACTTTGTGAACTGTGGAGGTATCCCTTACTAAGTCAAAAATCAACACTGACATATACAACATTCACTGTAGGGAAATATTTGCTTTAAGAAAATTGATTAACTAAAAATAGGGAGTTATTTATTTTAAATCAAAAGCCATGATACTATTAATAATATAGAGCAAGATATAAAATCACATCGCTGATCCTACATACCCCTTGATATTTTCAAAGTAAGTTTTGAATAAATATAAGACAAATGAAATACACAAAAATAATACATTTAAAAAATTCACTGTTGCCGGGCTCGGTGGCTCAGCCTGTAATCCCAACGCTTTGGGAGGCCGAGGTGAACGAACTGCCTGAGCCTGTAGGTTCGAGACCCGCCTGGGCAACTTGGCAAGACCTCATCTCTACAATAAATCAAAAAAATTAGTCGGGAGTGGTAGCGCGCGCCTGTAGTTCCAGCTACTTTGAGGGCTGAGGCAGAGAGATCGCAAGAGCCCAGCAGGGCGAGGCTGCGGTGGCTGGGAGCGGCCACTGCACTCCAGTCTGGGTGACAGAGTGAGACTCCAACTCAAAAAAAAAAAAAAAAAAAATTCACTGTTACTGTTACAAAAGGATTTACGTTTCCTTTAAGCACTGCATCCCACAATTCCATTTTCAGGAGGGATAACACAGGAAGTCACAGATGACCAGATCTTGTTTGGACTACACAGTATTATTTTTTTTAATTCAAATAAGTTGCTGACATTTTTAAGGTCTCAACATAACTCCAAACTGGGAGCTACAATGCCACAGGACACATGGGTTGGCTCCATGTACTGCAGCCCTTGGGGACAGTGGCAGTCCCAGATCTCTGCCATGACAAGGTCAGGGCTGGCAGCCATGCAGCATCTCCAGGAGCCCTCTCTGCTTTCCTGACATCTGGCTTGCTTTACTTACTCAGTAGCCTTCCAGGTAACTGTCACTTGTGTTTAACCCTTAGCTTTCACAAAGTTTTTTTTAGGCAAACAAAACATGTTCATACTGATGCTGGGAATTTTGTTACTAATTTTTTCCTTTAAGTTCACATAAAACTAAGAAGTTGATAAAAGGGTATTTGGAGCAGAGAACTAAAACAAAGAACGTAGAAACACCGGCCCTATGTGCTGCTTCTGCCCATAACCGCGACAGAGCACTCTCAGGCCCTCATTCCCCCAGCGCTGCGACACACACGGCCTCACCTGCATTGCTCCCCGTTCCTTTCTGCTTTTTTTTCTTGGCTAGTTGAATGGCTCGGTAATCAGTTCTTGCTGAGCCCCCACTTTCCTGGACCAAAGAAAAGCGTGTCAGTCACTTAATCTAGACAGCAAGGAAAGGTAGCAAGGGAACTACAGAAAAGCCATAAGCCTGCTTTCTGGACACACCAGAGCTCCAATAACCACGTCAGAGATGCCAGCAAAGGCACACAGAGAGCCAAATGCTATACAGTTATGGTGATAGCTGAACAAACTCAGACTTGGAACCATATATGTGACTTTATTACCCAGAGAAGCAAAATTTAGTCCTCCAGATTCTAAAACATGGTAAAATACTTTATACAGAAATTGTTATCAAATGAGTACATACTTCTATGCTCTTTGAAACACCCAGCCTTTCCCAGGTGACTCAGGATTACCTCACTGCAGTAATACCTGCTGTTTCCCAAACTGTGCCACACACGTGCATAGCAGGCCTAGTGCAGTGGCCACTCTGTCCACAGGGGCTACACACCAAGTCTGACACCAAAGCAATAATTACATTACTGAATTCAGGAACTTTACCAAGCAAGCCAGACAAAGAGTACTCAGGACTTAAACTGTCATGACTTTGTGCATGTTTTATAAGAGAAACAGAAAACTTATCACTACAGAGAGAAAAAGAGCAGCCCTCAACAGCTTGTAGCATACCTGTAACCCATTCACCACACACCATTTGTACTCAGAGAAGCGAGGTAGCCCAACGTCACACAGCTAGCAAGAAAATGAACAAGGGGTTAGGATCAGGGTCTTGCCAGCTCCTCCACTCCACCCACAGTTATGGCTCTGGAGATGAAGCAGGGCACGAGTGAGCTGCTGATCCCCAACACACCGAGGCTCCAAGCCCCGTGCCAGGGACTGACTGCCTACCTACCTGTGACTTGAGGCCTCCTCCCCATCCCTGCTCAGCGACCTGTCCACTAGTGACTGCCAAGCAAAGGTTAGCAAGCATGACACCAGAAGTGAAGAGACAGAATGTCCTTCTCACAGACTGAAAGAAATGAAAGCTGGTTCCATTTGTCAGTTACTATGTGCCTCATAGCTGGCCCTAATTCAAAAAGATTTAACCTTTTTCAAGTTGTGGTAAAGTAAGATTTCACGTTTTGAACAGTTTAAGTGTTACTATCAAACATAACCTGTGCCACAGAGAAAAAATCTATTTGATCACTCCCATCTGAGATTGAGGAAAGTCAGACTCTCCCCCAAGAATCTTTAATTAAATTATTTTAAATTAAATTATATTAAATGCATAATTGATATAAATATAATTAAAGTATATTAACTGTTCAGCCTCAAAATTAGAGAAGTACTCTTATAATCCTCCAAGAATGAGGTCTCATAAACCACTCCCTTTTTAATTTTCTTGTTAATTCTAATTTTAAAAAATATTTTGGCATGGTTTTAAAGTTTCCATTAAACCTTTAAAGGTAGTTTTCATCAGGAGTCCTCCTCTTCCAGGACTTGCCATTAGACAAAAAGCACAAAGGCAAAAAACATTTCAACATTATGAAATATTCCAATCTTTTTCAAGAGAAAAACACATTATCATGAAATCACAGAACGCAAAAGGACCTTAAAAAAGTATTTAGCCAAATCCCCTTATTTTCGAAATAAATGAGAATTTAAGGCTCAGATAGGTTAAATTATTTGCTCAAGGTCATAAGAACTCAACAGTTCCAGACTCAAGATCAGATTCAGATTTCCAGACTTGTAGTCCAGGGTTCCGCCCTTTTGCAAACCAGTAAGAAATGTCTGCATAGAAAGGATTAATCCAGAATCTCCTCAAAACTGAGCATAAGAGAAGTGAGCTATGTGGTGGTGACTGAATAGAGTGCTTCATACCAAATAGAGGTTGCCAGTGCCTGCATTGAGCTCTGTGTCCTGAGCACCATGCCTCTCTGTGGGGCCGGACAACATAGACTGAGGGAGCCCACGGCTTTCTTCCGGCTGCCCGACTGCACTGGGGCCAGGAGGTGAGTCCTGCTCCACCTTGATTGGAGCCAGCAGTTCTGGGACACTGGCATTTTCCCTGGGGGTGCTTGAAGAGGTCGGTGTGGTGATGTGCGCTGCTAAGTTACTGTTGGAGGTCAAAGCTGGTGGGTCTTGACCCAAGTTCTTCACAGGCAGAGCCACCAGGCAGCCTAATGCCCCTGCACTCATAGTCTGCACATCATCCACACTGAAGTTGCCCTGCTGGAGAACTGTGGTTGCTGTCCCAAGAACAAGAGGGTTGTCCAGAGTTGGAGGAATATCACTGTGGGCAACCAGGACGAGGGGATCCGTGGGCCCTACGGAGCTATCACTGGCAGGGAGGTTTCCTCCCAAAGACGAGCTCACAGAAGTGACGTCAATAGTCAGGATTCCAGAGTTCAGTGCCTCATCCGACCCGCCTGCAGAACCATTACCGCTACCATTAGCAGGTGCATCAGAGAACAGCGCTGTGAGATCAATGTTGGTGAGCTCACTTTGGCCTGGGTTGCTGAGTTCACTGCTGGGTGTAAGAGAACTTGGAGCTTCTAGCTGAGGTAAGAGATCTGAAAAAAGGAATGAGTACTCTGGTTATTTTATGACCTCAGAAGATTAAGACATTGCTTATGCTCAAGATGTTATCAAGTGAGCCCTCAAGGTAACATTTACTGTCTGTCCCCTGTACCCTGATGCCTGGTTATCACTGATAGGGGCCTTCTGCTAGCATACTGTTGGTGACCAACACACATCAAGGGAAGAAACTGCTTGCCGACACATCAGGCACGTCACATGTGTCTCAAATCATCAAGATCACAGGGATTTCTCCAGAGAAAATAACTGAAGAGAGATTAAGTAACACTTTTCTAGAGTCAAATCAACTAGAAATAGTAAGAAGCAAGGGCAGATTTGAATCCTTGTCGTTCTGGTTTCGAGGCCTGTCCCCCTCTCCCCTCTATGCTCCACAGTAGCACGAAGTTCTCCATAGTACATCATCTTTGGAAGGCAGTTCTAAGCTGAAGTGTGGCTCTGGGGACATTGTTGGAATCAGCTTGTGTCAGTTCATGTCTTGCCAAACCTTGTGCCCCACTCCACAACTAGCTGCCACCCCAAAACCAATGTGAGCCATCTGGGGTGAGCAGGGAGAATAAAATTGGCCTGCCTGGCCTGGCATCAAAGCTCTAGCCTTAGGCAGATGCACAGAACTCAGACATCAGGCTCTCCCCAGATACTGTTCTCCCCAGGTGTGGCCCTTAGAAGGAGCTTTTCCCTGATGACTTCCCCTCTTCCACTTCCTCCAATGCATTTCTAAACTCTAATCCCACCACCAGGACTATACTCCTGTTGAGGGTGGAGAGTCTGCCTGACCCACCTCTGTCCCCTCAGCACCTAGCACAGTACCTAGCCCTTATGCAGCATTTATCGATTACACAGAAATAATTAATTATAATAGGTCCCTCTTCATCTAGAGTCTTTATTTTTTATTGTAATACTCCTTAAATGTTTAGTTGTTCTTCAATCAAGTAATTTAATCATCAGAATACCCTTGGGAGAATAATGAACATTAACATACTTCAAAAAGTGTCCACACATATTCAAGTTGGAGATTTATGTACAAGTACAGGGCAATCATACCAAGCTGCAGGACTCTTCACGCACCAAGCAGACGATAAAATAGGAACACAATGAATTTGGGCAAATTCTTTCCCAAGAAATGTCCACTGTAACTTTCTGACTGTGCTAGTGCCTGGTCCACGGGAGAGAGTACTCTCAGTTCTCTGGTTCTATTTTTTCCTCCATCAACTGGTAGCTCACCCCAAACTCATACTTTCAAGCTGTGAACATCTCGTCAGAGTGTCTATTACATTTTTAATACAAACCTATGAAAGAAATTTTTTTCTAGACAAAAATAATCAAATTCAGAACATTGTTTGTTTAGTTGTCATATTACTTCGAAGTTTAAAAAGAAGCATCAATATAGTATACCTTTTTCAACACTTTGAAAGAAAATGGTAGTGATTCTTTGGAGAAATTAAAAGCGAAAAACTATGTCATTTTTTTCAAAATTTTCCAAAAATTCCTTTGACTATCTTGAGGATTCAGTTCCCCATGAAAAGATAAATAATCTCAGTGCAAACAGATACCACTTCAGTTATAAATGTTCTGCTTAGCATTTTATTAATTTCACTAGCATTTACTGCAGACCTGACGTGCAAGAGTCAGGTATTTTAAAAATCACTAAATAGAGCACCTAGCCTACGAGTTATAATCACCACCTTGGGACGTAAACAGACCACAGTTCGAGTCTCAGCCTCAGTTCTCCCTGCCTGTACAACCTTGGCAAGTTCTTCTTTCTGCCTCAGTTTCACCAGTGACAAAGCAGTGAGGAGCCCCACTCCCACAAGTACTGAGGACTGAAATAATACATTGAGGACCTGGCATAATCTCACAGTAGCTGGGTGTTCTTGAATGCCTGTTTTCCACTAGGCAAGGGTGGTGACACCTGGTTGTCTACCCCTGATAGTTGAGGGGGGATTGATACACAAGTAAGTCAACATCACATCATAAACACAAGCCTGGTTTACACCGCACGCTACCAAAGAACTCAAGGTCTCACACTCAACTGGAGTTTAAGGACAGCTTATACGGGATAACTCTGGGCCTCTGCCAATTCTAAATTAGCCAGGTTAGGAATGGGGGAAGCACACCAGGAGAGGAAAGGGCAGGAGGATGGATACCAGCTCACAGAGCACCAGCTCAGAGCTAGAGAGAGGGGACCTGGTCGCTGAGGTCCCCTGAGAGCAAAGATGGCATCCTCCAACATGAATTACATAGGACATGCACCATGTACTCCTCTTGTCCTCGAGACACTGCTGAGGCTGGAAAGGCAACTTCTTTAAATACAAAGCAGAATGGCAACTGCTGTGAACTGTAAAAGGTCACAGAGGGACCAATGGACCACATCTAACTTGGATTACAGGAAGCCAGATAAAGGACCCAAACCCTCTCACCATGCCCCAGACGCTCATCAAACTCTACCAGGCGCTTCAATAAGATCTTAAGTTCCAAGGAACTCCTTAAACTATCCTCCACACGAGAGAAATAGGCTTCAAAGACCTGGCCCCTGCCCAGGATGGCACCTGAGGAGTGGCTTGCCCCAAGGCTGGCGCTCTACCCCCACTGTGGTCCTGCTTGTCACACAGGTAACATGAGGAGGGCCTATGTAGGAACACACACAGCCTTCACGCACTCTGATCAGAAGGAATGCTATGGCTAGCCAGGACCCCACCAACCCGCCCTGTAAGTGGCAGCAGCCCTAACATGCCCCAGGGAGCAGGGAACACAGGTGCTCCAGGGGAGAGGCAGCCACCACGGCCACCACCTAAACACCCTCAGTGTCCTGGGACTGTGGAAGAGGCCTAACGAGTCAGGGTTAAGTCCCACACTGCAAAGCTGCCAAATGACCAGGTACTCACATGCTCAGCATTCCCTTTCATGAGCTGCCGAACCACCACTATGTTTCCCTCTAAGCCCTCCCTCTCCAGTTCTCACTCCACCAAGCTATTCCTGAAGCACAGCTCTGCTCTAGTCTTGGATGGCTTCCCACTTCCTAGGGGAAACAGTCCTTGGCAGTATGAAACCACTTCTGCAGCAGGAGGAGAAGAGGAGAAAGATAGGTGCGGATGCTCAGAAGCACAGCATGAGAGAGGAGCTGAGGAAGATGCAATGCTGAAGAGGGGAGTTCAGAACCAGGACAAAGGTCCCAGCAGGAGACCCAGGCTGAGTAGAACCCAGGAAGCCAACAAGTAAAAGACTGAACATTCTTCAAGGGAAGCACTTCAAGACAAGGGAGGACTTGAGAGCCAGAGGCAAGACAGTGGCAAGAAAGAATGCAAAGAGGTTCCTGGTCTCAGCAACCATATCCACGACTCCACTGTCCCAGACAACCTCTGAGAGATGAAAGAACAGCACCATGACCACTTCTTTCACCCACAACTCCCCAAGGGGGACACACAGACATGAAACACGCAGACCTTGGCGCCGGCTGTGCTGTCTGACCACGTGAGCCTTCATGCTGTGCTTGGAGGTGAAGAGTCTATTACAACTGGAGACTGGGCAGCGGCTTTTTGGAGCATCCATGTCCTGCATGTGTTTCTTAGAGTGAATGTACAGACTGCTACGAGCCGAGAACCTCGCACAACATCCTGCAACAAAGAGTAATGAGCATTAAACCCAAAAGTCACCAAGGAACTAGGAACCAGCGACACTTCCTCAGATCAGAATCGTGAAACCTGTCTGTCCACACATTGACACTGGCAAGAGACAGACCCAATATCCCCAGGAATTGCTTTACTGAAGTCGAAACCAAGCTGTTTTAAAAAGGCAAGAGGTACAGTAAAAGCTGGAAAGAGATCTGAAGTCCTGTGTCAGTCGTGTGTGGCCTTGGACAAGTAAACTCTGTGCCTGTGTTTTCACCCACTACATGAGGTCATTGGGAACATTAAGTCAAATTAAGTATCAACAAACTCCTTAAACATTCAGTTGGAAAAAATGTATACGAATCATCTCTACTAAGCTACTACTATAAAAACTACTATAATCCTGACATTCAGAGTTGGGAACTATCTCAGCACATCACCCTAAACAACGCCTCTCATTGCTGGAGGCTCAGAGAGACCAGGCAAGTGGCATAAGTCTGGAGTGCGAAGGACCCTGGAGGTGGCATCTTCTTGCTTATACACTCAGCTCAAGCCACAGATCTCCACACAAGCATCAGATGGAAAAGAAGATGAATCAAAGCTACAGTCACCTTTACTTTGTGCCCTGGTTTCTCATCATGTTGGAGCTGTGGCCCACATAGACATAGGGAGGGAAAGGGGAGGGAAAGGGGAGTTCTTGGCAGTCAGAAGCCTGTGGCCTGGTAGGAGTACATTAACAATCAGCTGCTATAAAGAGCAGACCATGTGCCGACACATGAAGCATCCTGGAAGCAGAAGAAACAGCACACCTCTGGAGACCAGTGGCATCTGTGATGACCGGCCCTTGGGGTGTGGTAGGGCCACCCCACGGGAGCCACCAAGCTGAGGTGCAGGGGCAGGAGGGGCAGTAGAGCAAGTGACCCAGCCTGGACTCCAGCTAAGTCACCTCCTAGCTGTGTGGCCTTAAACAAGTTATTTACCCTCTGCAGATCTCCTTTTTCTTTTTGGTAATATAAGAATGATACCTACCCCACTTGTGCCAGCAGTAAGGCTCCATTTTCACAAGTAAATTTTAATTCCCCAGGAAACAAAATACATTTCATTTTGGTTGATACTTCCTTTGGCGACCAGGCATATGACCATTTCTATGTGTGAACTGCTGGCTTTTCCTAATTGTGCAGTTCTCTTGAGATGTGTCTATTGTTTACAAATCCAAGCCCTGCCCAAGAAGCGGCAGAAGAAGCCACCACTGAAAGATCTGTCTCCACAACCTGCAATGGAGGACCCTGAGGCACTCATGTGGATGGCCAGAAAGCAGTCAGCCTGGACTCCTAGGGGAGACAATCAGAGGCATATGCGCTGCCACATGGTGCCCTTAAGAACCTACCATCACCTCCCCACCTCAGACTGATTCCCCCAACACCCTATTCTGCCCGTCCTCACACACTCACAACCTGCAGCTCCATCCTCACATGACCCTCAGCCTGTCCTCACACACTCACGATCTGCAGCCCATCCTCACACACCCATGACCCGCAGCCCCGTCCTCTCCTTCTCTTACTATAAAAAAGGTAGGTTGGTTATTTAAAAAAACTTTTTATTACAGAACATTTCAAACATTTAACAAAGCAGAAAAAATGGTATGATCAGCCCCACATACCTATCGCCCATTCCCAAGGGTTACCAACTCTCAGTCAAGTCGAGAAGGGGTTCTGGGGTCCCTCTACTGGGTTCCCAACTCCATATCCACCCGCCTCGTGGAGAGCACCCTCAATGAACTGTCATTCATCTCTTTTTCTCCTGCTACCATCAATCTCTTCCTCCTGGCACCTCAACATCCAGACTTGCTCAGAGCTCCATGAGAGCTTTGCAGAAGCAAATGCCCTCTCCCCAGCAGCCAGCTCCTGCCTTTTACTCTTTCCCTCAACCATCTCAGCAGATATGTTAGCACACAGCATCGCCTGCCCTCAACTTGGTCCACTCTGACATGGAAGCAGGGTTCTGTGCAAGTCACCCCACTGAACCTTGCCTATCAACACACTGACATACAAAGGCCCAGTCCTGGCTCACCTCAGCTCTCTAGGTGACACCCTTTTCCACACATTCTCCCTCTCGGCTCAGCACAATCCCCCCTGTACTCTTGCTGGCCCTGCTAGGCCGTTTCCCACTCCTCTTCCCAGAATCTGCAGCCATCCCAGGACTCTGTCCTAGTCATAACAACAATGCCTAACACATACTGACGTTCTCCACCTATTGCAGACTTAATTATTTAACCCCTCACAACGACCCTATGAGGTTTTATTCAACTTTACTGATGAGGAAGAGACACAGAACTTAAGAAGCTTGTTTGAGGTCCCCAAGCTACTTCAGTAGCAGACCTGGCACTTGAATCCAGGCTATCTGACTCTAGAATTCATGCTTGAGGTCACCTGGCTACCCTACCTCTTTTTCATTCACACTGTTCCTCGAGTGGTTTAAGTGATGGCTAGGGTGCCATGTGCTTCATGCCCTGCCCAGCCTGTTCTCCGAAGCTCCAGCAGCACACCCTCTGCCCTCTGAGTGCCCAAACTAGCAGTCAGGGTACCTAAAATACAGCATGTCCAAGCCAAGCTTTGCTTCCCCAGACCAGCCCTCCTCTATCCCCACTTCAGCAGAGACAGTGATCCCAATTAAAATCCAGATCCACCACCATGTACCATGACTTCTAATCCCCACGTCTGCCATCAAGGCACTTCGGATCACTAACCCCCCAACCCCATCCAGGTGCACCCCACATCCCAGGGACGGCTACAGTACCTCCCCACAGCCCAGTCACTTTTAGACTTGAAGCCAGACTGAGCTGAAGGTCAAACATCATCACCCCACTCACTCGCCTAAGCACTCAGCCTGCTGCTCTTGTGCCTCTCTCTGCAAGACGACCCCACACCAGTCTTGCTGCCTTTGACACCGAGGCTCACGTGTGTCTGGCTAATTCTTCCCCCTTTTTAGGCTGTCTGGGAGGCCATTCCCACCCCATAAGAGCAGTCTGATCGAACCTTTTGTGCTCTCCAGCACCCCACATATTACCTGCCCACCTCTCTGTACCCTGATAGGAACTCTGATGGAATGAAGAAATGTGTCTCGCTTATACCGCTTGTATTACGTCTACTGTGTTCTAACAGCTGGTCTCAGCTTTAAATGAGTCTTTATCATCCCCTTTTCCAGGTAAGGAAACCCAAGCTCAGAGAAGAAGCTTGCCTGAGGTCATTAACTAGGGAGTGGTGGAGCCAAAATTTGAATCCATGGCCATCCAACTCGCCCTGGCTCGATGCCTCCCAGTGCATCTGCAGCACTAGAGCAGGGCCAAAGTGGATGAATCATAGCAGATTTTTGGCAAATGAAGCGTGTCTTCGGGATTTTAAGAAAAAAACTCTCTAATACCCTTCTGAAAAAGTCAGCATGGCTTTATTGCTGCCCACTCACAAAATGAGTAACTATTTTGACTGAGTCTGAGCTACGTACCAGATGCATAAATAGGAACTCTCCACATTATTTCAGCTAATCCTCACAACCACCAAACTAAGCGAGTCACCTGACTAGTGCCTCAAATCTAGTAAGTGGCAGGGCCAGGAGTCAAACAAGGTCAGATTCTAAAATCTGTGCTCTTTCTAAGACACTGCTCCCAAGAGAGCACAATTAACTCAAGAAGCCAACTAAATACAATGCTACAGCTTATACCTACCTGGTCTTTAAGCAACTAAAACTTAGCTTTAAATAAACAACTGAAACCTACAACATAGATACTGGCATGATACTAAGCTTACAGCTCAAAGCAACACTTTAAAATCTACCTTCCACAGGACACTCAAATGGCTTTGTGCCAAGGTGGGTTATGCTGTGGCCTTTCAGATGCTCTGCTCTCGTGAATGATTTCCCACAGCCTTCCACAGGGCAGGTAAACCTCCGGTCATCATCATGTTTCCTGCAAGAAGAAAAAAACAAAGAAGCAGTGATTACTCACACAACTCACAGGCACAAGCCTCAGGTGAGTCTTTGTTTAAAATAAAACAAAATATACCAAACTACAAGCTCTTTCCATTAGAAAAAAAAACGATGAGTATATTTCAGGAAAATCTTAAGTCTGTCTTTACTCTATGTGAGTAAATGTGCAATTCAGCTGCCCCATAATTAAAAATTCTATGGCTGGATGAAGTGGCTCACCCATTCCTGTAATCCCAGCACTTTGGGAGGCCAAAGCAGGATTGCTTGAGCCCAGGAGTTTGAGACTAGCCTGAGCAACAGAGTGAGACCTTGTCTCTACAAAGAAATTAAAAAATTAGCCTGGTGTAGTAGCACATGCCTGGAGTTCCAGCTACTTAAGAGGCTGAGACAGGAGGATCACCTGAGCCCAGGAGGTTGAGGCTGTGGTGAGCTATGATGGTGCCACTGCACTCCAGCCTGGGAAACAGTGAGAACGTGACATGATCCCCCCCCGCCCCCGCAAAAAAATTCTACTTTAATGAGCAAGCTGATTCCGGAGTCACACAGAAAATAATTAGTGCTACTAATTGTCCCAAATGTATTGATGAAGCTGTTTTCACTATTTCATAACCCCCAGGATCAGTCTTTCCAAGCAATAGAGGACTTACAAGAATTGTGCAGAGAATCAGGTACAACGCTAAAAGTATCCTCGCCAGTCAACTTGTAAAGACTGTCTTTTTCCCTCAGCCCACAGCTGTGCAACCACTCTGAGTCCCACAACAGGGAGAATAAGAGCATCAGTTTCAGAGTTGTCATGAAGATGGAACAAGATACACTTGGAACTTGCTAAGGATCTTCTGGATACAGGCTTCAAGATCGTCATTATCACCATGAAAATTTGTAATGACATGAGGAAAGGTTATTCTACAATGTTAAGTTTAAAAAAAGGAACTGTATAAAAAATATGTCAATTAAGTAGAAAAAAGTATACATCAGAAAAAACTGTCTTTGGGTGATGAGATTCTGACTAATTGACTTTTTGTAGTTTTCTGAATCTTCCAAATTATCTATATTAATCATTTTTAATAACCAAAAAACCCTGCAGATATTTCATCCATCAATTTCTGCTGACAAACCAACCATTCACCTTCAAAGCTGATGACACACACCAAAACGTCAAGATTACCTTTTGTGCCTCAGAAGTTTGGACATGCTGGTGAAGGTCCAGCCACAACTGTCAGAGTCACAAACAAATGGCCGTTCACCTTATAAAAAGAAAAATGACACAGCATGATTATAAGTCCAATAGCTGCAACGTGGACAAATTTTGAGTCCAAAATTATCTAGCTCATTACCTGTATGACTTCTCAGGTGAATTTTCAGTCGGCAGGCTTTGTCATACTGTTTGCTGCACCCAGGAAAGGAGCAGGAGAAAAGCTCTTGTTCCCTGAAGTGGGCTCGGTTATGGGAAAACAGGGCACTCACGGTGATGAACGTCTTCTCACAGCCTGAACGAAGAAAACACAAACCTCGCTCACAGTGTGACAAAAATTATACAACACAGCTAATGCTGGTCAAACCCCAGGACACCATTCACACTGCAGGAGACAAGGAAAAGCACAACTCAGAAGAACTCCCTAAAAAATTATGGCCATTAACACCTGGCTTTGTAATAGCTACAAAGGGGTGCCTGGCTGATGGCAGCCAACCGGCACACACAGGCCACAACTGCAACTGGGCTTGGAGAAGTAGCAACTGCCCAAGAGAAAGCCCTCTGCTCACAGCCACCCACTAGCCAGTTCTGGAGTACTGTTTCCACACACATTCAGAGATCTTCCATGCACTCAAATATCAACACAGCTTATGTGAGACCCAAGAAAACCTCCTAAGAGAAATGAAATACTAAGGAACAAGGTTTTGTCTGGTAGAGTTGAGCTCTGATGGGTTACAAACCATTCTCATAGCTAGGATTTGCAACCCTTGGGGGTGATGCTGCATCCTCTACACTTATGAAGCACTTATCTGGCTTCTTTTTCCTTTTTTGCCCATTTCCTCAAGATTCCCTGCTTTGTCACTTCATTTCACTCACATTTTTTCATCACTTCATCCTTAACCCCCAAATGAGCCACAGCCAAAGCAGCCGACACATCAGTAATTCCACACTAATACTTCTTTGACAAAATCTTTCAGTGCTCGTGTGGAATAGAAAACGTGAGGATGTTTAGTATCCACTGAAGCTCTTCTCAGAGCCTTTAAGAAGACACCATCGTGCCTGTGAACTACCATGCAGATGCATACTGCATGGGACTGCCTGCAAAGTACCAGCCCAGAGAACCCTACCTTACCCAGCAACATTTAACTGGGACATGTTGATCTTCCCCGAGGTCCTCAAGGCATCCTCTCTGGCCTCAATCTGGTCACCACTCCCCCACAGGTTCCCCATTTTGGGCCCTGGCGTCTTCACACACTAGGTAAATCTAGTTTACGCCCTTCGATTCTACCCCTGCAACCTCTCCTACCTAGAGCCTACCATTCCCACCGTCACTCCCTGCTCAGGCTCTCAGGAAACTCGCGTTTTTAATGGTGCTTTCACAGGTCCTTCTCGTGCTTCTACACATCTCACACACAAAACCAATACAAACCCTTGGAGGGACATCCGGTCTCAAAGCAAGCCCGGACCCCTGATATTCCTAGTACTATACACAGAATGGCACTCTTTTACCAGGGAGAGGGTTTACAGTCACTGAATTCCCACCGGAAAAGGTTTGAGTCAGTGGCACAGAGCCATGTTCTCCATGAAGAAGGGATGCAACAGACAGTTCACAGGCATATGTGGGGAAAAAAATAATAAAATCTGTTCTTATTTTTATCTCATCCTTCAACGTTTCTCTCATTGAGTACATTTTATAATGCATACATTATTAGGCGAGAAACATGTGCATGTAACATACCACTACACGTATGTTAGGAGCTTGCTAGGTGCACTTTCAAGTTTCTGAATGAATGGAAGGTAGTAGGGTCTCCCTCCCAAACCCTCTCTACAGCCCACATTCCCCACCAGGGCTCTGCCATTCACCCTACTCACAACATTTCCCCCCGCCCCGCCCCTCCAAAAAACAAGCTCCCACCCCATGCTCCTGCTCCCAGCCAGGAATCTCCTGACTCCTCTGGAGGAACTGTCTCTCTGGGAGCACCAAGCCTGCCTACCCTGGTAAAGAGTTCACATGCCCAGCAACTCCAAGTAAACACAGTGGAGACAGCATGGTAGTGGATTTTATCCACGTCGCCTGGCATCGTGCTCTTTATCTGCACAAGGAGAACGGTTTTCAAACTTCACAAAAAGATAGTTCTTAAAACTTCACAGTTGCGTGAAGATAAAAATCAAGGCATAAAAATAGGCACAAAAACCAGGATGTGCCATACACCTGTGGCTGTTCTCTCAAAATGTGCTGAGGTCTTGTATCTGGCCATACTCTCTGATCCTCCAGCATGGAGTGTGTGCCCGTAATCACGAGATGACTGGGTATTTCGAAGCGACTGAGAAAAAGGCCTGACTTAAAACTCTGCGCAACTCTTTGCGGAGATGCGTCATCACTTCCAGTAAACGGAAGGTTTGAGACCTGCTGCGTCCATCGCTGGGAAGCCCAGCTACTCCCCGCCACTCCCCGCTACTCCCCGCCACTCCCTGCAGAAGTCCTCTGGAGGCACTGGAATGCCCACATCAGAGCTCGCGTCCCCGCCCCTCCCTCCGACCGGGCCGCCCAGGGCGCCCCAACCCCGGGCG